GATTGAGAATATGGCATCTGCTAGCCTTCGGCATGGTGTGTGATGAGAACAAGGCACAAACATTGAGTAGAAGACCAGCCTCTGATATGTGCAAGGGAGACAAATATACAGTGTGATGTTTTTATGCAAATGCAAATTAAGGATACTCTGGGTGAGGAAGCATACTAGGGTGCAATAAAAATGATTTCTTTTTTAATGTCCAGGACAAAAAAATGCTGCCAGTCCTAAGTAATGCAGGTAGCTCAGGAACACTAAAAAAATTTACATGCATGGAAGAAAGGTAGAATATGAAGGGATAATTCTTCCTTTTCAAGAAAACCATCTCTGATTTATGCATCACTCTAATCTACTTTTCAAAACTTTGGGGAAGGAACAGATAGGACTGAGACAAGAAGCTTTCCCCAACCTGCTGTCTCAGAATTGTGGCAGTGGTAATCCAATTTGTTTAGATGAACAGTGTTTTCTTCATTGCAAAGATCCATAATTCAGCTGGAAATGGGTATAGAGTGTAGTCTTAAGGGGCTGTGAAAAGAATGGAAGATGATGGAGCTGTAGCTGATGGCCCCCAGCATCAGTCTAGGGCAGGGGTGTCAAACTCCCGTCCTCATGACGGCGTCACATGACGTATCGGGACTTTTTTTCCCTTTGCTAAACCAGGTGTGAGCGTAGCCAGTGCGCAACACATCCAGCCTGCGGATCGGGAGTTTGACAGCCCTGGTATAAGGGATCATATGGGTTTTCAGCAACCTAGTATCACAGATCATAACAAATACTTTTCTATATTACTTTACTGCCCTCTAATTATTCATATTTTCATTGTCCAGATATGGTAGTCCTCTTGAAATGAAAAAAAAAAAAACCCTGATCTTTCCAAAATACTCAATAATACTTTAATAGGGCTTTAATCTGTGGAGCTGGGCACCCATTGTGCCACTCTCTTTAGAAGAGCTCCTGATTGGTCCTACAAGACCTAGAATTCCAGAACAAAATTGTCATTAGAAATGTTGGGAGTTATAGTCTCTATACACTGGGAGGTATAAACCAGGGAATTGGGGAGGGTTGATCTTAACCCTCATGTCTACGTTGCTTGAAGCATCATAATTACACTGAGTATTATTTACATATCACACTCCCCCCCCCAAAAAAAGAAATAAACAAGACCATGGATTGGCATATAACATACAAGTTCCAAGCAGATACAAATTTAGAAATAAGAAAGATAAATGCCACAGATCATTATAGTGGATAAGCTGCAAGTAAGTAGCCCATGTATGTACTGTTCAGGAACTTAATTCTTATAGAGGTAGTCCCCAAATCTACTCATGTTGTGTCTTATACATATATCATTATCTGTATTATATTACAATAGTTAAATCTCTTCCTTTGATGAATAGTCTGAAACCTGAGTTCTCCAATCTATAGGAAGTATATCTGACGAAAATTTCCATAACACTCAAACACTTGCTTGGATTATTATTATTATTATTAATATGAAAGACAAGTACATATTCCGGATAACTTACTCTGAATCTTATTTTGTGATTTCATAACATCATCAGAGATGAAACATACCACATATTCCATTAATTACAAGAAAATGAGTAAGAGCTTTTTTTTTTTGGCTAACAGGCATTTGATTTATCATCTTAGGTCTGCTGATCTGTCGCCTATCGAATTCCAATATCATGTCTTGTCCAGCATTTTATCCACAAATATAGGAGCTGTTATGGAAACAAAACCTTGTTTCTGGTGGAAAGGGGGGGTGGGGTGAAGAGCAAAGGTTCCTGATGGCACCATGCTGCCATCTACTGCCTAAAGGCCTCCATTACATTTTCACTACCCTGTTCAGATGGAGATGAAACAGAAATTATTTCTCCCCAACAATTACATTACATTAAAAATGCTCTAACCACGAAAATGGCCCAGATCTACCTCAGGCAAGACCTCATTGCGGTGGAGGGGCCTGGACAATTCATAGAGTCCACGTCTCTGGCCAAATCCACCCCAGCTAGAACCAATCTCTTAGGAAAGAGAACTACCTCTGAATAACTCCTCCCTGCCCACTCCAAACCCACAGAATTGGCACAGAAGGATTCCGTGATCAATAACATTAAAAGCCAGTAGAGGCCAACGGAACTAGGAAGACTGCACTCTCTCTTATCTCCAAAAGTCATCTAGAAGCATGACCAGTGTAGTCTCCATGCTGAACCTCCATCTGAAATCTGATCCCATAGATTCACACAATCCACTTTTTCAGCTTCCATCCACAAGGGAGGATAGAAACTGGTCCAAAGTTGTCCAAAATCATCCGATCAAGACAGCCTTCCCGAGCACTGGTTGTACCACAGCCTCTTTTAAAGGAAATTAAAACACCCCCCCAAAGAAGCATTAATTACCGCTTGGATATACTCTCCTGTTATTTTGTAAAATGCCTTAACTAGCCAGGAGGAACAGGGACCCAGCTGAGAAGTAATGGAGCTGACACTACAGAGAGCCTTAATCATTTTCCTCAGGACTCAGATTCAAACGGTGGCTGATTTCACAAGAAAATCCTCAATCAGCTAAAGTCCAAGGGAGCTCAGATTTGGGTGGTTTATGAAACGCTATGAGAATTCTTCACAGCAGACCTTCAAAATGTTTTGATAATCCTGATTATACAAGAAAATTCACATGTTGAGAGCAGCTTCCATCCATAGCAGCAGCATCTGTTAAACTTGTTCTAAGGCCTAGGGAATATCTTCATTCATTTATACTTACCATGCAAATTTACAAAAAAGAAAAAAGGCTTTGTAAGAAAGTGTAGGTGACAAAGAAGAAACAAAATGCCTTGGGCAAATTGTCTATAAGGAGCCACAAATGATTGATCTCAGATCTGTTTGCTCCTTGGTTTGAGACATGTAGCTGATCGGCTGCTGTTTAGTACTAATCTGCTCAGCTGGAATCCGTGAGCAATAGTCTTGCACTCATAGGGATTTTCAAATACTTTGATCGAGAAAAACAAGCTTTCATTAACCTCCAGAGTTTAAGTTCTTCTAAATATTAATTAAAAATCTAACCAGACATGACAAAGCATGCTTAATTATTAGGATCTAGGCACAGTTTACTAAAAGGTTAAGAACAAGAATGCTGAATTACAGGCATCTAGTACAATCTGCAAGGATAAAACAATTGCAAAACGAATGCCACATTACAATGCAGTTGTTAAGCTTTTCACACTTGCATCCTGGCACTGCAAGTCATATTTTGTAATTTGTACCCTTTCTCCCCACCCACTACCAAATGCCTATGTGCAACATCCCTGAAATTGGCATTCAGAATAACAGAATACCAGAATTGGAAGGGATCTTGGAGTTCTTCTATTCCAACACCCTACTCAGGCAGAAAAGCCTATAACAGTGATAGCTAACTTTTTCCGGACCAAGTGCCCAAAGCGTGCAACCCCAAAATCAGTGGTGAAATCTAAAATTTGTTACTACCGGTTCTGTGGGCGTGGCTTGGTGGGGGGTGGTGGTAATGTGACTGGGTGGGCGTGGCCAATTTTTTTTTTTTACTTTTAAAACCATTTTTACATGTAAAGCCATGTAAAAAAAATGCTTTCAAAAGACTCTGATGATCCCAGCTGAGTTGCCTGATCGGCAGGCAACTCAGCTGGGATCGTCAGAACTGGGATTGTCAGAGCTGGTGTTATGTCCTTATAAGGACATCCGCCCGGATTGGCTGCCAGCCATCGGGCGGGAAAGTTTGAATCGCTGTCAGGGGCGGTGCGACTGCCGGAGCGAATATAAGGAGAGCTCCGGCAGCGCACAGCCAGTCTTGCTACTGTTTCTTGTTCTCAATAAAGTTACTAATGTAACGAGCTGGTCGCGTCTTCCATTCCTGCGCCAATCTAACACTGGCGACGAAGGACTAGAGGAAAGAGACGAACCTCGTGGCACCAAGCCAACAAGACCAAGACGCCGGGACCTGAAACCACAGTAGGCATTCCCGAAGGCATGGCATCCGCTGAAGTCACTTTGCCAGCCCTTGCGCCATTCCGCCCAGGGAAGGACAAGTGGAAATCCTACGTGGTCAAATTCCGGCAATACCTGAGAGGCAACAACATCAGGGATGCCGATGATGACCGGAAAAAGGGCATCTTCCTGGCCAACTGCGGCTCCGAAGTCCTGGATATAGCAATCGATCTCGTAGCACCACGAGACATCGAAGAAGTGCCATGGACGGACCTGCTGCAAACCCTGGAAGAATACTATGCCCCAACTGGAACACCAGTGGCGAACCGTTTCACCTTCCATCAGAGGGACCAAAAGGAAGGTGAGACCATCAAAGAATTCGTGGCTGCCCTGCGCCAGATCGCAGCCAGCTGCGAGTTCGACCACGTGGACAACGCCATCGCTGACCGTGTGGTTTTCGGCATGAGGGACAGAAGCCTGCAAAAGAAATTCCTGAGCAGGAAGAAACTCGTGCTCAAGGATGTGGTGGAGGAAGCCACCGCATCCGAAATCTCAGAGAAAGCGGCTGCCGCAGTAAGCAGAGCTAAGGGAATCCACAAGATTCGCTCATCACAGCAATCATCAACCGAGGATTCCACAGCTGGATCAGAGTCGGAGGTGGAGTCCACCGTACACAAGGTATCCAGACCCCCAAGGCGGGAAGCCGCCCAATGAAGCTACAAGGGGGAGCGCTGTGCCAGCTGCAGAGGGGACCATGCCAGGGCGACCTGCAAGTGGAGAGATGCGACCTGCCGACGCTGCAACAGAAGGGGTCACATCGCCGAAGCTTGCAGAGCCGAGGAACCAGCCACAGAGCCATCCAGCCACCGTCCCCGCGAGATTCGGAAGGATTACCAGAGATCATCCAAACGGTCCTCTGGCCCATCCAGACGCAGAGACGATGATTTTCCCCGGAGCGGAGCGGTCCACCAGACGACCATCGCACACACGAACTCACACAATGCCACTAAGTTCCACGTGACCATCCACGTGGAGGGAGCACCCTGCGAAATGGAGGTAGACTCGGGCTCGGTCTACTCCATCATAGACTGGCAACAACTGAAGCGCCTGCAACCCAGCATCACCAAACGTGACCTGAAGCCATTACACTCCAAGCTCATCGACTTTGGGGGCAACCCCATTGGAGTGTTAGGAAGAGCCATCATCCGAGTCGCCTACAACGAGTTCAAAGGCAAGCTCCCCATCACCGTTGTGAAGGACAGCCGACCGAACCTGCTAGGAGTGGAGTGGTTTAAGCCGCTGGGGCTTTCAATCGAAGGCATCAACCAAATTCGCAGGGACGAACTCGACAACCTCATCGAAGAGTTCAAGGAAGTCTTCGATGGTAAGCTGGGGAAATTTGTGGGGAGGCCAATCTCTTTTAATCTGGACAAGGGAATCACCCCAATCAGGCTGAAGCCCCGCCGGGTTCCATTTGCCCTGCGGCCTAAAGTAGACGAGCAGCTGGATAAGCTGATCGCCCAGGGCATCCTGGAACCGATCGATCATGCTTCATGGGAGACCCCCATTGTGACCCCACTGAAGCATGATGGGTCTGTGCGCATCTGCGCCGACTATCGTTGTACCATCAACAAGGCGTTGGCACAGAGCGCATACCCAGTCCCAGTAGTGCAGCACCTGTTGCATTCCCTGGGAACTGGCACAATTTTTGCAAAACTGGACCTAGCCCAGGCTTACCAGCAACTGCCAGTGGACGAAAAAACGGCGGAGGCCCAAACCATAGTCACACACAGGGGGGCATTCAAATGCAACCGTCTCCAATTTGGAGTCAGCGCTGCCCCCGGCATCTTCCAATCAATGATGGAACGCCTCCTCCAAGGCGTTCCAGGGGTGGTGCCATACTTTGATGATGTGCTGATCTCCGGAGACTCACAGGCACAACTCCTTGATAGGCTCAGGCTTGTCCTGCAGCGCTTCAAGGCCAAGGGCTTGAGAGTCAGGAGAGATAAGTGCATCCTAGGAGTACAGGAAGTCGAGTTCCTGGGCTATCTCATTGATAGCACTGGCATCCACCCCACCAAATCTAAAGTGAAGGCAATCCATGAAGCTCCGAGCCCCAAAAACAAAACGGAACTTCAGGCATTCCTTGGGTTGCTCAACTTTTATGCAATCTTTCTTAAACAGAAAGCCACAGTTGCTGAGCCACTCCACCGCCTGCTGGGGAAAGCGGCTTCCTGGAAGTGGGGCCAGGAAGAGGAAGCAGCATTCCGAGCCGTGAAAGGACTTTTAACCTCAAAAAGCGTCCTCATCCAGTACAATGAGACGCTCCCCATTAAGCTAACCTGCGATGCGTTGCCCTACGGGGTGGGGGCAGTCCTCAGCCACGAACTGCCCAACGGCTCTGAAGCCCCAATAGCATTTTTCTCAAAAACCATGTCTGGCGCGGAACGCAACTACAGCCAGCTGGACAAAGAAGCCCTGGCCATCGTTGCAGGAGTGAAACGATTCCACGAGTATCTCTACGGGAGGAGTTTCACCATAGTCACCGATCACAAGCCACTCCTGGGGCTCCTCGCAGGCGACCAACCCACACCGACCTTCATGTCCCCGCGGATGACGAGGTGGGCCATCTTCTTAGCCGGCTACTCCTACAGGCTCGTGCACCAGCCAGGCACAGCCATAGGAAACGCCGATGCGCTGAGCAGATGCCCATTGAAGGATCCTGTAGAAGACCCAGCCCCCACGCTCCACCTATTCCACATAGACGACGACGCCAGCTGTCCAGTCTCGTCTGCAGATGTGGCCGTCCACACCCAGAAGGACCCCACACTCCGCCACGTAAAGTCCTGGATCCTCAGGGGGTGGCCATCGCAACAGACGGAGGAGAAGTTCAGCCCGTTCGCCAGGAAGCAGAAGGAGCTGTCCACCATGAAGGGCTGCTTACTATGGGGAGACAGGGTGCTGATCCCAAGCACTCTGCAACGGCGGACACTCGAAACGTTGCATAAAGGGCACCCAGGCATCGTCCGCATGAAGGCCCTGGCACGGAGTTACGTCTGGTGGCCCGCACTGGACAAAGACATTGAAGAATGGGTCTCCAGATGTGACCCGTGCCAGGAAGTTCGCCCAGCGCCGCCACAAGCCGAAACAGCGAAGTGGGAGACCCCCAGCAACCCCTGGTCGAGGATACATATCGACTTCGCGGGCCCGATGCAAGGGCGCCACCTCCTCATCGTGGTAGATGCCTTCTCCAAGTGGCTCGAGGTGGTACCCATGGCATCTACCACAACGGAAGCGACGATCCGGGCCCTGCGCCGCCTTTTCGCCACCCATGGCCTACCGGATGTGCTGGTCTCCGACAACGGCCCCCAACTCACATCCCTGGCCATGGAGGCGTTCCTGGCAGGACTGGGCATCCGCCATGCCCTGTCCGCCCCGTACAGGCCAGCTGGGAACGGACAAGCGGAACGGATGGTGAGGCTCACCAAGGAGGCACTCACCAAGATGGGCACGGGCGACTGGCAGGAAAGAATAGACAACTTCCTCCTCACCCAGCACATCACGCCGCATGCCACCACCCACAAGAGCCCGGCCGAACTGTTGATGGGCAGAAGGTTGAGGTCACCACTGGACCGGCTGCACCCACAATACAGCCCAGAAGTGACCGCAACGGCCAGCCGCCCGCTTCGCGCCTTCAGCAAAGGAGATTCGATTTTCGCGCTGAATTTCCACGGCTCTCCTAAGTGGCTGAAGGGGAAGATAGACAGCACAACCGGCCCAAGATCCTACACCGTGGAGCTGGAAGATGGACAGGTCTGTAGACGTCACATCGACCAGCTCCGGAAAAGGTGGGGGGGAGTGCAAGAAAACCAGCCTGACGGGGGAGGCCTACAACACCCCGACGAGGTAGACCTGCAACACCCCTGCGAGGTAGGCCTGCAACACCCCGGCGAGGAAGGCCTACGACACCCCTGCGAGGTAGGCCTACGACACCCCGACAAGGTAGGCCTACCACACCCCAGCGAGGCAGACCACCACCACCCCGACGAGGCCGGCCAAGCACACTACCAGGCGCTGACACAGCGGCAGTCCGGAGCGGTAGACCGGGGTCAGCCGAATGGAGGGTGGCAACACCAACCCAGCGAGGTGGGCACCCGGCACGACAGGGCGAGAGACCGCCATCACAGCACACGAGTAGACCGGGACCTGCCCAGAGGGGAAGCACCACACCCCGCCAGCGAAGGCAACCCACATCAGCCCTGCCAGGGAGACCTCCACTCCAGGCGAGTAGACCGGGGACCATCGGAGATGGGCACACCGCAGCCCATGGGCAAGGGTGGCACACGACTCCCCGGCGAGAGGGATCCCCGTCCAGCACAGAAGACAACCCGGCAACAACAACAACCCAGCCCAGATGACTCCAGCCACCAACCTGCGGTAGACCAGGGACCAGGGCGAAGGGAAAGCCGACAACAACCCGGCCAGGGAGGCCTGCGCCACCCCGACAGGGGAGACCGCCACCAACCCGCGGAGGTAGCCCCGCAACGACAGCCCGACCAGGGCGACCACTACCGACCTGACGGGGGAGGCCAACACCAGCCCGGCCAAGGAGACCTGCGCCACCCCTGCGAGGTCGGACACCACAACCCGAACCAACACCATCCACAGCTGGCAGACCGGACCCGAGGGCACCGATCCGAACCACCCACCAGGCAACAACGAGCCGAACCGCGACCGAACCGCAGCGCCCGGGAGACCGGGGAAGAGCAAGTGACAGCCGGTGACTTACCAAGACTCAGACGCTCTTCCCGGGTCGGAACCGAGCAGCATCAACGAGGCGAGAGATCCACAGGCCAGGAGGAAGACCACCAGAACCAGCCATCCAGGGCCTGCGGTCCGGCCGGAGGCGCTGAGGGTGACCCCACACACTCGCCAGCCGAACCGAGCCCGGTTCCGGGGAAGGAACCAGAAGACGGAGGAGCCCCGTCCGTCCAGGGCGGGGACGAGGAAGAAGTGAGACTGCGCAGGTCAACTAGGGCGCTGAGGCGTCCTACGTACCTGCGGGACTACGTGACGTTTATAAATGAACTTTGAAATTTTTGTCGGACTAAGGGGGGAGGAGTGTTATGTCCTTATAAGGACATCCGCCCGGATTGGCTGCCAGCCATCGGGCGGGAAAGTTTGAATCGCTGTCAGGGGCGGTGCGACTGCCGGAGCGAATATAAGGAGAGCTCCGGCAGCGCACAGCCAGTCTTGCTACTGTTTCTTGTTCTCAATAAAGTTACTAATGTAACGAGCTGGTCGCGTCTTCCATTCCTGCGCCGATCTAACAGCTGGGATCATCAGAGGCATTTAAAAGAAAAAAAGCCTCTGATGATCATGCAGCTCAGCTGGGCATGGGGGAAAGGGGCAGGGATTTTTGCTACCGGTTCTCCGAACTGCTGCTGCCATTGCTACCTACTTGCCCAAGCCGGTCCGAACCGGAAGCATTTCACCCCTGCCCAAAATGTAATGTGCGCGTAGCCCTCCACATGCGCTCCCCCCACGTATGCACCCGCCCCCCCAAATGCACCCCACCTTCCGCGCAGGCATGTGTGGCCCCTGCATGTGTCCCACCCCATGCATGCACACACGGCCCCACCACATGCACCCCACTCCTATGCATGCCTGCACCGTCCCACACCTCCCCCCCGCCCCCTGCGTATTCAGTGGCGGAGCTGAACTGGGGTGACAGTTTGCGTGCCCACAGAGAGGGTGCTGTGTGCCACCTCTGTCACGTGTGCCATAGGTTCGCTATCCCAGGCCTATATCATTTCAGACAAATGGTTGTCCAATCTCTTGGACCTCCTGTATTGGAGCACCCACAGCCTCTGGAGGCAAATTGTTCCATTGATTAATTGTTCGAACTGTCAGGAAATTTCTCCTTAGTTTTAGATTGCTCGTCTCTTTGATTGTGGGTGCTTCATCACTATAGAGGTTTTTAAGAAAAGACTGGACAGCCAATTGTCTGAAATAGAATAGGGATTCCTGCTTGAGCAGGAGGTTGGACTGGAAGATGTCCAATCTCCCTTCCAGCTCTATTCTGATTGATTGATCACAGCTCTATCCTTTTAATGAAAAGAAGGACTAGGGGTGACATGATAGCAATGTTCTGGTATCTCAGGGGTTGCCACAAAGAAGAGGGAGTCAACCTAATCTCCAAAGCACCTGAGGATAGAACAAGAAGCAATGGGTGGAAACTAATCAAGGAGAGAAGCAACCTAGAACTAAGAAGAAATTTCCTGACAGTTAGAACAATTAACCAGTGGAACAACTTGCTTCCAGAAGTTGTGAATGCTCCAACACTGGAAGTTTTTAAGAAGAGATTGGACAACCATTTGATGGAAATGGAATAGGGTTTCCTGCCTGAGCAGGGGGTTGGACTAGATAGAAGACCTCCAAGGTCCCTTCCAATTCTGTTATTCTATTCTATTCTTTTTAATGGGTGTTATGTACAGATTGCAGTTGTAGCTGCCATTTTTTTTTCATTTTGTTTAATTCCTCACAAAGCCAACCTGAAAAATGATTTTCAAAAAGTAGTACTCTACAGTTGTGAATACAGTTCATTCATTTAATACTTAGTTATCTGCTTCATAAAGGAAAGAATCATATCTTTTTCCTGCCAATTAAATTCCCAATATAACTATATTTCTATGGGCATAAGAATAAAATAACAATTAACTTATATTAATTGGTTTTATTTTAGTCCCATGCTAATGTTGCTAATCTTAGCCTCCTGATTAGAACTCTTGGCCTCTGTTGACTTGAAAAAAAGGTTAATTAACTCATCAGAGAGGGAATCCTCAGGTGGATTTTGAGCTCTTGCAACACAGATCAAGCTTCCATATAGATAGATGATATGCTATGGGCTATTTACTGAACCAGTTGGATAGTGTGCACATAAGGAAATGGTTTCACATGTAAAAAAGGCAACTGTATTTTCTCTACGCTCAGATTTCATATAGACTCTCTCACACAAAACACACATACAAATTGTATATATGTATATATTGCTTGGGGTTTCTATTCATCCAGTTATCATTAAGCAATAAAATGTTAATCTTTCTATAGCAGCACAGTTTACATACAGGGTGGGGTTCATACATTATACTAAGCTAAATTGCGATTTGTTTGGTTTAGAATGAAGTATGTTAGCTACTAGGGTATGTAATTAAGAAAATGTGGGTGTAATGTATGATACAAGCCCAAGTAATTGTGATTCATTTTAAAAAAAATCACAATTAAGGATGGTGTGTGAACCCAACTGCTGACCTTATTTGCTTGCTTTTCTTCTATAATGTTCGGCACTTGCTGGATTTTCTGTTGAAAAGAATCATAAAATTTATTTAATTTGATCCAAAGGGGAACATTTTCATGGCACGTTAAAGGCAAACTATCTTTAACTTTACATTTCTCTTTGACTTGTATCATAGTTTGTTTTAATCAGGGTTTGCTGAATAAGTCAAGGTCCATCTAGCCCAGTGGTTCTCAACCTTCCTAATTCTGCGACCCTTTAATACAGTTCCTCATGTTGTGGGTGACCCCCAACAATAAAATTATTTCTAAGATCATTGAAAATATGTGTTTTCCGATGGTCTTAGGCGACCCCTGTGAAAGGGTCATTCGACCCCCAAAGGGGTTCCCGACCCACAGGTTGAGAACCGCTGATCTAGCAGATAAGTAGTGTGTTCTCTCTCTTTTGTTGCTTTTGTTTGGTCATTTAAGGCAGGGGTGGGGAATTATGGCCCCTTTATGACTTGTGACTTCAACTCCCAGAATTCCTGGGTCAGGACTTGAAGTTCACAATTCATAAAGGGGCCATAATTCCCCACCTCTGGTCTAGGAATACTGGTAAGCTAAGACTAAGGCAGCATCTAAAAACAAGCTGGGGAAAATTAAGAAAACTACAAATAAACCTAAGTCTACTTTACACATCATTAAGCTAACAAATCAACACACCTGAATCAATTTGTGATCGTCCTCTAATTGGCCAGAAAATTCTGGGAGTTGAATTCATATAGCTTAAACATGCTGAGCTTGGGAATCACTGGGTTAAAATAACAGACAGTAATTAACTCAGAGTTACTTACCAGGTTTCTGTGGATGAGGGTGGATTAGATCCTCAACCCTCCACCTTTTTAATCATTACACCATACTGGTTGCCATGTTTTACCACCTAAACCATGAATTATTGATAAACATCTAAATCTTCTCTAAACCTAACTTAAAACTCCTTTTTTTAAAAAAAAATGTGAGGCATGATTTTCAAATCATACTCTGTAGGAGATTCAATTTTACCAATTAGAGCCAGTCTGGTGTGGTGGTTGAAGTGCTGGGCTGGAGGCCATGAGTTCTAGTCTTCCCCTAGGCATTATAGCTGGAGTGGAGAGAAGCAATTTGGGGCCAGTTATTCTGTCTCAGCCCAACCTACCTCACAGACTTGTTGCTATAAAGTAAAACAGGAAATGGAAGCATCTTATACTATCTCTTTGCCAAGGTTTAAAAATGACTGCACTGCCCAACCCTATAATATAATAGAGGAGAGATAGGTAAATCCATAACAGTATCTGTGGGGAGATGGGGTGTGTGGGGGTGTCAAAGTTACTATATGGCCATTTTCATATAATAATTGTGAGTGCAATTTTAACTTTTTTGCCCTGTTAGATGCCTCTGAAAATCTGATAATTTCTGATGCTTATTGGATTTCTAAAAACCCATTATAGGAATAGCAATAGCACTTAGACTTATATACCATTTCATAGTGCTTTATAGCCCTCTCTAAGCGGTTTACAGAGTCAGCATATTGTGTCCAACAATCTGGGTCCTTATTTTAC